GGGCCCCAACGCCCTTGGCCGCGGGTGGTGGCGCCCCAGCCTCTGGCTCGATAACCCCATTCCCGCGGCATCTGGAGGAGGGCGGCCCGCCCTACCCGGGCGCCCGCTCAGTCCCACCTCCTGACGGCTCCTGCTGGCCAGGGCCCAGCTCTGCCGCCCACCCAAGCCACCTCCCAACCGTTGCCCCTGGCATTTCTCAGCCTGGGTGCCAGCTCCAAGTGTCCACGCGGCCATCCCAGGGCAGTGCGGCGGGGACAGAAAGCCTGACCACTCCTGCTGCCTGCCCATGGCCCACCTTAATGGCACTCCCACCCTCTGGGCTGAGGCCTGCAGCCGTGCCCCCAGGCCGTGCACCCACACCTGCTCGCCCTCCAGTCCCTCCACGGCTCCTCCCAGGCTAGCAGGGACGGAGGCTTTGGCCGACACTGCCCGGTTGGCGACGTCCTCACCTCTCTCTCCTTCCCCATCTCCACACCCTCGGCCGCCCTGGCCACATCCTCCCAGCAAGGCAGTCTGCGCATTCGGGGCACGCCCTGGCCCTGCCGCTGCCCTGCCTGTCCCCCTGCCCTGACCAAGTGGCTAGCCTCCCAGGGTGTTGTGGCCTCTGCTCTCCCACCCAGACCCTCTCTGGCATCCCATCCCGTTCTCCAGCCACAGACGGAGCCCTGCTTGGGGACCCTGCCAGCCTCGCCACCACTGCTCATCTTTGCATTTTATCCCCCACCGGACCCCCGGCCATCCCCCAAATGCACCGGCTTTCACGCTCCGGGGACTTTGCACACACCATGCTCCTACCTGGGGCCTTCCCTCCCTCTTCGCACAACACTTGGTAGACTCCTATCCCACTGGCAAAGCCTCATCATCCCCAAAGGCCCCTCCTCTGGGACACCTCCCTCAGCTGCGCCCCACCGCCAGCCTGGAGCTCTGGGAGGGCTAAGCTAGGGTCCTGCCTACGGCTCCTGGGGGGACAGCAGGAAACGACTGGGACTGGAAGGAGAGGTGCACGTGAGCATGCCCGTGCTGGGGGTCCACGTGCCGCGCCCCCAGGGCCGCCCCCTCTTCCGTCCAGGCCCGCCCCCCCAGGCCCGCCCCCCCTCCCGCCCAGGCCCAGCCGCAATCGTCAGACTCTCGACTGCGTCTCCCGCCCCCAAGTTTGCAGACGCGCAGGGATAGGGGAGGGGCCGCAGCGCCTCCACTCTCGCGCTTGCGCACTCAGCACAGCTAGCCTGAGGTTCCGCCTCCAGGGAGCTGTCATGCACTGCTATTGGTGAGTGCACATAAGGGAACGGCGCGGCCACCAATGAGGCTTCCCCGGTAGTAGGCGGGGCCTGGGCCACCCGACGCGCGGACGGGGGCGGGCGGGGCGCCCTCCCCGCGGTGACGTCAGGCTCCTTTCGTGGCGCGTTCCCCTGGAAACAGCGTTTCCATCCCTGCGGGTTTCCGGGGGCCGCCCCCTCCCATTCAGCTTTTTCTCAGCGGGGGGCAGGGAGCTGTGCACGGCGTCGCGGCGGCGCTGCTCGCTCTGCGCCTCAAGTTACCTCTCTGTGCCTGCCAGCTCACACGTGGCCTCCGTCTGCAGCCCTTCCGGCCGCTGCACCCCTGACCAGCCCTCGGACACCGCCCAGGGTGCGCGTGTGCAGGCGACGAGAGCCCTAGGATAGGGGTGGGCGCGCCCTTCTAGGACCCCAGCGTGGGGCCGTAACCTCTGCACACCCCCAGGACACGGTTAGTTCCTGATCCCCAGGGCCACTGTGCCGGAACCGCATGTCCCCAGGGCATTGCCTTGACCCTGGGACCCCGGGCGCTGAAGGCAGCACCTAGGGAGTTCCTGGGCCGTAAGGGACGCGTCCCCCGCAGGGCGCAGATGCAGCTGTGATTCAGCAGGTTCCGCAGTCCACATCCTCCTTCCTGGGCCCCCACCCACCCGCGAGAGGCCACCCGCCCAGGGAGGGGATGGCAGTGACCTAGCCACGCAGCTGCCAGCCCTGACCCTGGCCTGCCCGCGCCCTCCGGAGCCTGCGGAGAGAATAGCCCCAGGCCAGGAGGAGTGAGGGTGGCTAGGCACTGCCTTCCTGGCGGGGGTGGGGGCCAGCTAGGGGGTGACTGGGCTGCGAGAGCACTCGGGGAAGACACCCCAGACCACCCCCCACCCCGTGCTGTGTCAGGTCCCAGGGCCACTAGAAGTGGTCGAGCGGTAGCCACCCCATGGGACAAAGAGCCCAGGGCTCGGTGCCAGGCCGTGGCCTCTGCTCCTGGGTCCTCAGATGGAGGGATCTTCACACTCGCTTGCTGTGGTTCTGGTCGGAGCAAATGCCAGGTTGCCCAGCGCCCTCCCAGCCCCACGGTGGGTGAGGCCAGGACCTGCAGACTCCAGCCTGGGGCAGAGGAAAACGGGCTTAGGGGATCCCGGGCCTACAGCGGCGACAGGGCAGAGGAGCACCAGAGGAAAAGCAGGACGCGCCGGCGGGACCAAGGGTGCCCGTCCTAGGACCTTGAAGGTCCTCAGGTTCCAGGGCTGAGGCTGCAGGCCTGAGGTCCCCTGCAAGGCCATGTGATCTCAAGGGGACAGGAGGCTGCCAGCAATGAGGCCAGGCCAGAAACGACCCTTGTCCTGGTCCTCACAGCACTCCAGGGCCTGGAGCCTGGGAGCGGGAGGGTAGGAGGGCCTCACCCAGGCACAGGGCTGAGCTGCAGGGCCTGGGCCCCACCCCCGAGGGACTTCCTGCTCTGGGTACCAGGAAGTGGCCGGCCCCTCCCTTCCTCCCCAGCTTGCCAGCCAGGAGACAGCTCTGGGCTCTGGACTGCACTCCCCCAAGGACCCAGACGCTTCCTCAGGTGAGGCCAGGGACGCCACTGTTTTGTCTTCTTTTATTACTTTAAGTCTCGGTGTTGTGACTTTTGTTTTTTCTCTTTTCATACAGGAAATTCCCGCGAGGTGCTGGACCCCAGAGCCCGACCCCCGAGGGCGGGTAATGCTTTCTTGGGGAGCCCTAAGGAGGGCGAGGGCCACTTCCTGTCTGGGGCTCTCCCCTCAGACCCACGGAGGCACGGTCGTTATTGGAAAAATCGTTAAAAAACGAAACAGCGCACACGTTTAAATAGGTATCCAAGACTCTTCAGAAAACAAACCCGCCCCATTTTTGTCCTTTTTTTTTCTTTTTCTAATTTTTTTTTTGGAAAATGAAAAAAAAAAACAAAACAAAACCTTGACCTCTACCCACTTGGAACCCCCCACTCCCACCCCCCACAAAAAATGTACAGAGCTACAGTTAACACACGGAGTTCACATCTGAAACCAACAACTTCCAACACAGGAGGGGACCTGGGCGCACCTAGGAGAACACGGGGGAGGCGGCTGGGGCCTGGACAAGACAGGAGGGGGCCCAACGCCTGCCATCGTTAAAAATAAAGTGGAGAGAAAACCCAGAAACCCCACCCCTTGAAATGGCCCCAGTGGGGTCAGTCTGCAGCCCAGGGGTAAAGGCCCCCCAGGCGTGGGCCAAGCAGGGGAGTCCACATTGGACCAGCAGCGGCCCCAGGGGCATTAATGCTACACAGGGTGCCTACCCTGGAGGGCTCACAGCTCTGCACCCCATCCTGGCTGCAGGGGAGGCCCCCAGTGCCCAGCCCATGTCCCTCAGGTTGGGCTGGGAGGAGAGTGGGTGGCTCCCTGCACCTCCTCTCTGGTCGGTTTTCTGAGATTCCCAACCTCTATTGGCTCAGTCAGAAACAAAGTTTATAAATACCCCAGCTCAGGCAGGAGGTCCCAGAAAAGGGGCGGAGGGCAGCAGAGGTGCCAGTCCCACCCACCTGCCCGGGTGGCCCTTGAAC